CTAACGGCCCTCCGTCTAACTCGCAGTACTAGAGGCGCTTCTACGTAGAGTCTGGGCGGCTGCCCTCCTGGTGGCCAGGAGAAGGGCAGAGCAGGCTGATATTCCTTCAGGGGCTGGAAGCCCAGCCAAGAGTCCAGCAGCATGCCTAACACCCCTTTCCCAGGCCTCTGTAGGCTGCCGAGGCTCACACCCCCCCCCCCCCCCCGAGGTCCCCTCGGATGCTCACCTGGGCCCTTGGGAGGCAGCCGGCGGCCAGGACGGGAAGCCCCTGGGGAAGCACCCCCGTGGTGCAGCACCCCGGCTTTCCCCAGGAGCACCTGGCAGCGGAGCAACCTTTTCTACGTCTTCCCGAGACCTTCCGGACCCTGCACTTCTCCCTTCCCGCGCTCCTCTTAGAAACGTTCCGCCCGGGCAAACGTCACTGCGCACGGGCGGCGCTGACCAATCACGGCCCGGCGACCCGGTGGTCCCGCCCACGGGGTGAGGATGTGCGTCTGGGGCGTGTCCCGTCCTCCCAACCTCACGTGGACGCGGCAGGCTGGTCCGGCTTAGCCCCGCCCACCTCGGCCGGCAGCACTTCTATGCAGTCCCGGGTGGCACCACCTGGTGATGGTCGGCAGGGGGCGCTCACCACCGCGGCTGAGGAGACACGGTGGTGTCTGCCTTCCACACCCCCTCAACCCCCTCACCTCTGGTGGCGATTTGAACAGGGAACTGGGGCCTGTTAAAATCAGGCCACTTCACCTCTTGGGTCATCTTCTCCACCCACTGCTCTTGGGTCCCTTTGGTTCCTTCATCTGCCGGGGCTTCAGCTATGGCTGCTACTTCCAGAACTAAAAGCCTTTGGTTTTTAAAGTGCAGTACCAGCCCACCAGCAAGAGCATTGGGAACCCGTGAGGAGTGCAGATTCTCAGGCTTCGCCCAGACCTGAGAAGGATGGGCATCAGTTTGCTAAGATAGAGAGCGATGTCCAAGGAGCCCAGCAGCCCTAGCTGTTCTGTCCCCCAGGTGTCTGAATTCAAGGAGCCTTTAGAACACGGTTCTCAACCTGGGGGTCGAACGACCCTTTCACAGGGGTCGCCTAAGACCATCGGAAAACACATATAATTACATATTGTTTTTGTGATTAATCACTATGCTTTAATTATGTTCAATTTGTAACAATGAAAATACATCCAGCATATCAAATATTTACATTATGATTCATAACAGCAGCAAAATTACAGTTATGAAGTAGCAACGAAAATAATTTTATGGTTGGGGGTCACCACAACATGAGGAACTGTATTAAAGGGTCTCGGCGTTAGGAAGGTTGAGAACCACTGCTTTAGACGCTTCTAACTCAGGTTCCGAGTTATCCCAGCTAGCTTGGAGGAAGTAGAGCTGTCCCTGCAGAACTCTACCCAGACTGCAGATTTGTGAGCAAAATATTGTTTGAAGCCCCTAAGTTTTGAGGTGCTTTGTTCTGCAGCATTAGGTGGCTGGAACATTAGACCACTGGGCTATGTTTGAGCACAGTCCCGTTCTTCCATAGTTCTCACTACCTAGCTTTCCAATGGTCTTTATTAGTATTCCTTAAGGGGTTTAGATTTGAGTCCAAGCATCAATAATTTCTCCACACCATTACCAATGACCTAGTTTACTTACTCAGAGACTTCCCTTGCAAACTGCCTTCTCCAGCCTCCCACTGCAACTCTCTCTCGGGGAGGTGGAGCCCAGCTTCTGCTTGCTTACTTCACAGAGGTGTGACCTTAAACAAGTCACTTCCCGGGGCTTCAGTTGCACTGCCTGGTAAGTGAGAACATGTGTCTTCCTGAAGGCAAAGGAATAGATCAAAAATTGGGGGGAAGAGAGCTTTCTCTTCTAAGATCTTTGATTTCAACTAACACTCATCAGACACAACCACTTCAGAGTAAAATGAGTTTGCAGAGAAAGAGTTCTGCTATGTAAAGAAGGAGACCTTCAGGAGACATCCAGAAAGAATACATCGAGCTACCTGGGGAAGCCGCACAAACTTGGAGTGAAACTGTTGGGCAAATGGCACTATAAAGTTCAGAAAGGTGGGGGGAAAAACCAGGTTGTAAGTTACATTATGTAGAATGAAGAGAAAAATCAGGAACACCTGATGGATGTGCACCCACCGTCAAGACGTTTTAAAAATAATTACACAACCATATAAGTGGAATGACATTCATTAAAATAGTCCCATAAAAAAGAGAAGTACATACATCATGATAGCAGGATGATGAAGTTCAATGGTGATAAATGAAACTGCAGGACAGCATTTGCAGGCAAGTTGTGATGATGAAAAGAGCAAAATGAACATGCTAACATGGATTCAGACAAGTAAAATGTGAAGCTACAAACATAGTGAAATGAAAGTTACTGCTCCAAGTTGAAGAGGACATAGAAAGTAGGACCCTATGCATTTGAAGAAAGTGAAAAGTCAATGCAATCCTATCTAATAAAAGAGTAATATGCAAATTAACTGTCACTTCACAATAAAGATGGCGGCACCCACAGCCAATAAGGAGGGAATATGCAAATTGACGTGACAAAGATGGAGGCGCCTGCCAGAGCCATGGAGCCGACCGGAAAGGCTTGGCTTCCTGGTCACTGGGGCCAAGCCAAGCCTGGCCAGAGAGCAGGAGAGCGGGCGGGAAGGCTTGGCATCCTGGGTTGCCCCAGGGACCCAGGAATGGGACTAGGAGTGATCAGGCCAGGAAGGGAGGGCAGTTGGAGGTGATCAGGCCGGGGGAAGTTGGGGGTGAGCAGGCAAGCAAGGGGGGGGCAGTTGGGGGTGAGAAGGCTGGTGGGGGGGGCAGTTGGGGGCAAGCAGACTGGCAGGCAGAGTGGTTAGGGGCAATCAGGCAGGCAGGCAGGTGAGTGGTTAGGAGCCAGCGGTCCAAGATTGCGAGGGATGTCTGACTGCCGGTTTAGGGATCGGGCCTAAACCGGCAGTCAGACATCCCCCAAGGAGTCCCAGATTGGAGAGGCTGCAGGCTGGGCTGAGGGACACCCCCCCCCCCTCCCGCACAAATTTTGTGCACCGGGCCACTAGTTTCCAGATATTGCTCAATGAAGAAATTAATTGCAGTTAAAGACACAGCAAATAGAAACAGCCAAAATATTTGTGGATAGCTATGGAAATATACAGTAATAAGAATGAACCTAATTATTTTCCATCACCAAGGAGGAAAGATAAACTATACATAACCGTACAAAATTGCGAGCCTTTTTGCAGAAAGATGCTTTTGAAATACAAGGTAATATCATCATTATTGCTTTCATATCATCACTGCCCTTGCTCATTTGGTCAACAGCTGTTTCTCACTGTTCCCTTCCTTTGAATTTCATCACATTTTTGGTCTCACTATCCTGAAACCAAAGCATTAAGTTTTAGGGAGTGTACACTTAAGCAAAGTTTAACCCCCAGTTGTTCTGAATAAATGAAAATTTGGACTAAAGATTGGAAAGAAAGAGGGCAGTTTGGATTTTTATAGAAGGCAGAAAAGTACTCTTAGAATATTTTCTTTTAGCCTCACAAGGAAAACTATTGCCTAATGAATTTGCAAGTATTTTTCCTGCCAATGGTAAAACCTCATACTTGCTTGTATGGCCGGATGCTGAAAAACCAGCAGGCCAGGGACAGACTTGGATCTCTCTGACAAATGTAAGATCTGGGCAATTCATGATATTCCTAATTCCTGTTCCCTTCAAACTTTAGCTCCTCATCCTTTTCTCAAACCCCATCTTGAGTTCAAGCACATTAAATTAACCCACACATATCCCCAATGCAGATGTAAACTTCTCAGATCTAAGTTTTGCTATCACAGTTCCAGGTTTTAACAGGTAAAAGTGAATCATGTGCATTTGTCATATTGTTTAACTTAAAAAAGCATGTCCAAAGCTTTAATGTTATGTTCTCTGTTTTTTCTACTCACTTTCTTAAAGGAGCATGGATGACTCTCCTTCCCTTAGTTTGGCCTTAATGTGCTCCTAGTTTCTGGCACAGACACGGAAACCCTACCTCCACCTCTGTACTGCATCTCTTCTGCTCATGGTTAATAGACGGTTAATAGGAGGATGCTTTTTTTTCCTCGTTATCATGACTACAGAATCCGTATTGGAAATAAGTAAAAAGAGTCAGCTTGCTATGATGGGGTACTTACATCTTCTGAAAAGAAAACTGACCCAGACAGCTGGCTTCAAATTCAGTTCTAGGAAAGGCTTCCCAAGCCTGGGCAAAGACCTGGAGATGCCATCTCTCCTCGTGGCCTTAACTTTGCCAATAAGGTCGCAGGGGCATTGGTACCTGTCAAAGGCTGCCACCTCCTTAAGCAAAGATGGTACCTTCTCATTCCAGCACGGCCGTTATATACTCTGACATTTTCCTTGGCAGGCCGCACACAGAACCCCTGGAGGCTGGCACCTCGTTGCCCTCGGGCTTGGACAGCTGCAATGAAGGGAAGGCGGTTGGAGGATGGAGTAGATTCCCTTGAGAGAAGTACTAGTAGGGTGGGCATCAGGTGCTGGTGTGATTTTAGGGACTGAAACAGCGCTGCTGATTTTCTTGTAGTACTGTATAGGGTTTCCTCCCTTACACTCTGCTCCAGTCGTGTCCAGCTACTTAAGGACGTGAGGTATCTTGTCTCCTTTCTTTGCACACGCTGCTCCTCTTTCCAGGCTTCTCTCTTTCCCTTTAATCACCTGATGAACTCCCATGCATCCTTTAAGACTCAGCGAAGTAACTCTTCCTCTGGGAAACTATCCCTAACATGCTACCTGTTATTTAGGTCACCAGTATACCCTCTACTATTCTGATGTAACATTTATCATGCTCTATGGCAGTTTTAACATGTCTGTTTCTCCTATTAGGTTGTGAATTTCCCGAAGTGTCCCCCAAATCTATCTGAGTGCCTATCACTCATGCACACATTGATTTCTTTCTTTTTTTTCTTTAAAAATATGTATTGAGTATGTTTACGATGAGCTAAATCCTGTGTTAGGTGCTAGAAATAGACATGAATAGACATAGTTCCTATCTCAAGAACTTATAGTGCAGTGAGGGAGAGACAAGCAAAAACACTAATAATCACACATTGATTTCTTCATTCAACAAATACTTCTTGAGTACCTAGTGATATTTGAGTATCTAGCGCCAGACCCTGTGTAGGTGCTAAAGATAAAGCAGTGAATAGGACACAAAGACCTTGTGATGGGAGATGGACAATAAACAAATACCAATTATTTGTCAGGTGGTGATAAAATAAGGCTGGATAACAGATAGAGAGTGTTGAGGTTGAGAGGGCATTTAAGTGGCTGGGGCAGGCATCTGTCTTAGTCCCTTTGTGCTGCTATAACCA